TATTTCCTCAGCAACCAGCACCTATCAGCTCCATGCATGAGGAAGCAGATATCGTCCTCTTTTGGAAGACCAAACAAAGTAGTTTCGCTTTCACAACAAAGCATATACAGCGTCTTCACGACATGGTGGTGGCAACAACAATACTACAGCGAGAATAAAAGTTACGCCTTCTTTCTTTGCGTGAACATTTGGGTGCCGTTATGCAAATCTTCTCACATAGTGAGGTAGATATGTGGGGGCGTGTTAGAACGAACCGTTTTAGGTAGGCGTGGCTGACTCTTAACTTTTATAAAGAATATCTCTTTGGATTTGAGACTTCAGTCTTTGCAACTTTACAGATCTTCTTTATGCACCAAGAGCTTGTAACACTCCAAAGAGAAAGGAAAAATTTAAATCGCATCATATGACCCCTTTAAGCGATACTATTTAGGAAACAAACCCATCTATTTGATGTATTTACATTTCATGCAAATTATAAATAGCCTACTTTCAAATGTTCCCAGTGCGATGGTGTGTTTTGATTGTATTAAGGGGAGGTCACACAGTAATTGCATCACTAAAGATTGTCAGGCTCCTGTGTTTTTAATTTTGCTGCTGCATGTTCAGTAGAAAAAAAGTCACACCTTTGCGCTATATTCTTCCGACGAATCACCATTTCATATTTTCTCCTTTAGCTACTTACAGAGCTGGAAGAAAACACTTCTAATTGTGTCCCACGACCAGAGTTTCTTAGATGACGTCTGTACAGATATCATTCACCTGGACAACCAGAAACTCTACTACTACAGGGGCAACTACCGTGAGTTTTGTTTCTGAACAGCAACACAGATGAAATCTTATGAAAGACCTTTAATCATCTTACTGTATTTTATGTTTGCTTGACGTCTCCTAGTGACGTTTAAGAAGATGTACGTACAGAAACAGAAAGAACTCCTGAAGCAGTATGAGAAACAAGAGAAAAAGCTCAAAGACCTGAAGGCTGGAGGAAAATCCACCAAACAAGCTGTAAGTCCTTGACTTTTTCTCGATTTTGTCACAGTCCTAGTCTTCTCAAACCCTTCCACTCATTCTCCATCATTCATGTTCAGGAGAAACAGACGAAAGAGGCCCTGACGAGGAAACAGCAGAAGGGAAAGAAGAGCCACCGTGAGGAGGAGAGCCGTGAGGCCACAGAGCTCCTCAAGAGACCGAGAGAATATACCGTCAAATTCACCTTCCCTGACCCTCCTCCGCTCTCACCGCCAATTCTCGGCCTGCACAGTAAGTCTTTTATGACTTTTGCTCACTGTGGCTTCTTATTTTTATCAGACTTGTTGGGTGGTTGATGACCAGTTTGGTTTATTTTTTCTTTCAATCCCAGGTGTTGACTTTGGTTATGAAGGCCAGAAGCCTCTGTTCACAAATGTGGACTTTGGTATAGACATGGAGTCCAGGGGTAAGTCAAACATGTCTGTAAAATCATGACTAGTAGTTTAATTATGGTGAAAAATATACACAAGGAAATGTTCATTTTCTCTGTTTCAGTATGTATTGTTGGGCCCAATGGAGTTGGGAAAAGTACACTGCTCCTGCTTTTGACTGGAAAATTAAATCCTGTACGTACTGGTTATCTTTATTAAGTATTCATATTTGCTAACAAAAATGCTTTTATATCAATAAAAATCATTGTGTACTAATTTTTTTCCTCATGTTTGTTGATTTGTTTCCTTCATGGCGTTAATTATGAGGCTTTTTCATTTTAGATAAAAGGAGAGATGAGGAAGAACCATCGATTGGTAGGGCAGATGTTTAAAATCATTCTTTTTATTTTACCTTTACCTGACTTTGAGTAATTGGTTCATTCTTCTGCCTCTGCCTGTAGAAAGTAGGTTTCTTCAACCAGCAGTATGCTGATCAGCTGAACATGGAAGAGTCTCCCACAGAGTACCTCCAGAGGAACTTCAACCTCCAATACCAGGACGCCAGGAAGTGCCTGGGTCGCTTTGGCTTAGAGAGCCACGCACACACCATCCAGATCTCCAAACTGTCTGGTAAGCACTATCAGTGTTAATTTCATTGACGAATCATTTTCGTCATAATTTTCGTCAATTACATTTTTTTCACCGACGACAATGAGACAATAACGAACTAAAACTCTTTTTAAATGACAAAAACTACGATGTAAATCTATTGACATTTTTGTCAACGAATAAAAACAAGACGAAAATGTTAGGGAGGGACGATTTGGTAAGAGATTCATTCAGAACGAATCTGCTGCGTGGTTCGGAGGTTAGATGTGTACATATGAACCGGCGGGACATAAGCTAACATACACTTGCTGCACGTCACATAAAACATTAAAAAATGTCAATATGTGGGAGTAAGAGAAGAGCAGACATAGATAAATCTGACGACGCAAGAGAGAACTCAATTCAGTCCGGTTTTCTGAGTGCACACTGAAGCATACACACACAGAAAGCATGTCTCACAGCACGCGAGTACTCTTTCATGTTCTTGTTCTTTATGAGAAGTGGTTTTATTTAATTTTAACATAAAGGCATGTTGTGTGTCACCGCAGTTAAATCGTTGTCTATCATGATATAACCTTAATATCAAACCTATATAATGAGTTTGGAAATTGTGAAATGCTTAATAAGTGCATTACACTGTAACTAAACCCATTAGATTTTAGCCGACTAAATTTACTGTAGATTTAGTCGACTAAAACTAAAAACAATTCAGATGACTAAAATATGACTAAAACTAAATGACATTTTAGTCAAAAGACTGTGACTAAAACTAAATCAAAATTTGCTGTCAAAATTAACACTGATAGGAATGCATTCATGCATGGTTTTCAAAGTCATCTGTCCTTTGTTGACATTTTTTCTGAATTGTCCTGTTTTTTGTTGTGTTTTTAGGCGGTCAGAAAGCAAGAGTGGTATTTGCTGAACTTGCTTGTCGACAACCTGATGTCCTCATCTTGGTAAGGAGTAAAGGTTTTAAATGTCTCAATTTCATTAAAATTTGTACTTTAAAGTCCCCATGAAATCAAAATTAAAGTTTTTAAAGCTATTTGAATTCTACACAGAATGCTATATTTTATAGCAATATGGATGAGATTGTGGCTGGCATACCCTGTCAAATGCGGCTTTACGGAGCTCAATGGCTCTGAACGGCTCTAGCCCAAGCTGTGATATAAACGAACGCTATTGGCTATTTTAAAAAGGGGCGGGGCTGCTTGATATGTCCCGCCCTGTCTTCCTGTTTCAGTTAAAATGATGTCAACACATAGAGTAACGCCCCATTCACACCGATAACGATAACTATAAAGATAACGATATTAGCGTCCACACCAGCGAATGATATCGTCTGTTTATTCTCACATATGCCGCTTTAAATTCTTGAGCTCGTTACAGCAGGATGGATTCTGATTGGCTGTCAATTTTTTATCGTTCATCAGCTGGAGAAAAATCGTTTGAAAGTGATTCCAACGATATCATTTCTCTTTGTCTTTATCGTTATAGTTGTGGTGTGGACTCTGCTGTTCTTTAATATGGAGAACGATTTTTAGAACTATATCTTTATCGTTATTGTTCTTGGTGTGAACGGGGCGTAACACTGCGTGTTTCTTAGCATTTCAGGGGACCTTTAACATTTTTTTCCCATACAATTGTACAGGATGAGCCCACAAATAACTTGGACATTGAGTCGATTGATGCATTGTCAGAAGCCATCAATGAATACAAAGGAGGTATGTTTTTTTGTTTTTCTCACTCATTTTATTTGTTGTGGTGAATGATCTTGTGTGCATGTAAATCCATTCAGATGTTCTGTAAGATTTCTAAACTATATGCAATGATTATGATAGTGGAAACCAGGGGGTAAAGTCTTTATTATTAACATTTAATATGAATCTTTTTAGCTGTGATAATTGTGAGCCACGATGCCAGGCTCAAATTTTTTATCGTTCATCAGCTGGAGAAAAATCGTTTGAAAGTGATTCCAACGATATCATTTCTCTTTGTCTTTATCGTTATAGTTGTGGTGTGGACTCTGCTGTTCTTTAATATGGAGAACGATTTTTAGAACTATATCTTTATCGTTATTGTTCTTGGTGTGAACGGGGCGTAACACTGCGTGTTTCTTAGCATTTCAGGGGACCTTTAACATTTTTTTCCCATACAATTGTACAGGATGAGCCCACAAATAACTTGGACATTGAGTCGATTGATGCATTGTCAGAAGCCATCAATGAATACAAAGGAGGTATGTTTTTTTGTTTTTCTCACTCATTTTATTTGTTGTGGTGAATGATCTTGTGTACATGTAAATCCATTCAGATGTTCTGTAAGATTTCTAAACTATATGCAATGATTATGATAGTGGAAACCAGGGGGTAAAGTCTTTATTATTAACATTTAATATTAATCTTTTTAGCTGTGATAATTGTGAGCCACGATGCCAGGCTCATCACGGAGACCCAGTGCCAGCTGTGGGTGGTTGAGGACCACTCGATCAGCCAGATTGATGGAGACTTTGACGACTACAAGAGAGAAGTGCACAGTTGAGGTGTACCTACGATGAAAATTACAGATCTCTCCATTCTTTGTAAGTGGGAAAACTTGAAAAATCAGCAGTGTATCAAATACTTATTTGCCCCACTGTAAGTACTGTTATGGAAACATCATTTGGATCAAACTTCCAACCGCTATTTGAAATAGACCTTAGCCAGGGTAGCACAATGTCATTTCTGATAGGAATGAAAATGAGTTTGTGAGGGACAGACGTACAGTGCATTTAATGGGTTGTACTGCTGTTTAACAAAATTGATTTTTTTCATTTAATGAAATGTCTTTCCTCCTTTCAGTAGACAAAACGCCATAAATTAGTTTTAAAAAATACATGTGATTTAGGACCTGCCATTGTAAAGACTAAGTCTTTCCCTAACTGCCTCGTTCTCATGTAAAATACACAGCATCTGCTCTTAATGTGTAAAGGTCTTTTACATCAAGATTCAAACATCTGGTTTCAGGTAGTCTTTGTATATCCGCTTCACTCTTGCCAGTTCTCGCTCATCTGGTTTTATACTTCCATACCACGGATACCACAGTTCTCCAGAGCTGAGAGAAAATGGGGCAGGAGTTGCTGCTACAGCACCATGAGTGTTTGAGTAGTCCTCTTTCGAGTAATCAACATGAGGTAACTGGGCAGAAAGTAAACCTTAAACGAAGGAAGAAAAAAAAACATCACATTAAGCACTTGTGCACCAAATAATGAAATTGATCATTTATTTTCATAAAATGACTTGTTTGTGCACATTGGCGCTTATAACAATAAAAAAAGTGTACATTTACCACAATCTCTAGCAGTTTCAATGGCCTTGTTAAGTAGTTTCTGTTGTTTCATACACGCACCTGAGGAAACAATTGAAGATGAAAAGTGCTGATCAGATCATGATCACACCAGAAATGTGACGCTTGAATGTATTAAGAAATGCATTACCGGTTCGAGTGGGATCATGCACAATTCCTGTTTGAGGACTAATGAACTGCTGCAACAGGTTCACATTCTGCAGAGGAAAAGCATGTATATTAAAGCAAATACATTGTCCTCACACACACAAAAAAGACAAAATCAAAAAACAAACCTTGTAATGGACAATGATGTTTGGATCACGACAGATGGGACAAGGATTGCCGCATATCTTGTCACCTCTCTATGACAAGACAATCATCCTCATTAATACAAATTTAATGGACTGAAGAAAAAAAAAAATCTGAAGAACAAACCAATCAATCAAAATTCTAAACAAATGAGAACTTGCAATACAGGTCTTTCTTGTCTTTTGAGGAGGGACGCCCCCCTTATGATTCCTCCTATAGTTAGACCACACAGGCTTTGATCCATAGCGCTCAATGTACTCTAAAGAGAGATTTGAGCAACATTAAACGCTGTTTTAACCACAAGTAATTCATTTTAATCATCTAATCAATCATATTTACCTTCACTTTCTAAGTATTCCCATGGTCTGTCTGAATATCTAGACAGTACCTCAGCTGAATCCGTGTCATCAGCAGATGATGAAGATGATGAAGCACGAAAATTCAGACGCAGCACTGGAGCACTTCTTTTCCAATCTCGGATTCTCTGCAATACAAAACGCGTAATTTGTCCTTTGTTTGTTGTTGTTGTTTGCACGCGAAATGAGTGGACAGCAACAGACATATTTATACATCCTGTATTAAAAACCAAAACGATTCCAGATATAAACCGAGATTAAACGTTCCTAGCTGAATCGAGCGTGGCGACCTAACTGCGCCACAGTTTCTAGAAGCAGACAGACAGCATGCTGAGATAAAGCGAGACTAGTGTATGAGCTCACACCGCAAAGCCAGAGCAGCGGCTTCAACGCCCTGCTCCTCTTTGTGTGTGAGACGGAGCAATCCTAATGGTTATTAAAGTAGCGATAAATCATCGAATAATAAGCTAGCCGTCGCTAGTCATAAGCAATCTGTACATAAAGATTGCCATAGGCAGAGCCAGGAAGTGACCGCATTCAATTGGGGCTTTTTATAAACTGCATTCTTTTCAGAGGAGAGCTCACTGGAACAACCAACGCAATCTGCACATAAAGATTGCCAAGTGGCGCCTGTGGATTTAGCCGAACGGAGAGGAAAAACAGACTGAAATGCAACATTTTGTTCATAATGATGTCGTTAGGTGTTATTAGTTGTCGGAACTGGATACCCGTTGAGCTAGTTTGGTGAAATAAACCTCCCTAGGCAATGATAATTTATAAAAATGCATAGCAGTCTGCCTATAAAGATTGCATTTTTGTGTGTTGTGTGCTTAACGAGTGCGTAGATAGGGTATTATTTGTCTTGTCGACTTTGCTTTAAAATGGCGGACGGGTTGTCGTTTGCTCGGATCACTCGAGGCAATGGTGGCTGTTTTTCTGACTGGATCTACGGGAAAGACTAGCTCGGGACGGCTGTCTCGCGTCGCCAGCATCCCCATATACAGCTCGAGGTGTCGTCTTAATATCCGTGAGTCGCTAGCGGGGTAAATATAGTAGCACTTTGTAAACGAGCAAGACAAATGCCAGGCGGGGGAACATAGCCGTTGTGTTTTTAAAAGCTGGTTGGAATTCAAAGATGGCGACCAGACACCCGTTCACGAAGACAAGTGGTTAAAGATAGTGGGCGTGGTTTACCGCAGACTTCAGCCAATCAGAGGAGGCGCTGTCAGCTCAGCGCGAGCTGCTGTATGAGAGATTGAGATTTCCACAGAAGGCAAATCAAATCCCCCGTGGCCACTATTGAGCAGATGCATAAATTCATATTACTGGCCTTTAGTCAGAACAACACTGGATGCTTTGTGCTGACAAGTTCTAACAAAAAACGAATATTGCTATTTGCTTAAAGATGCCAGCTGTTTATGTTACATTTACATTTAGTCATTTAGCAGACGCTTTTATCCAAAGCGACTTACAAAATGTTACTCTTGATTAAAAAGTGCAAGTAGGTTACATGGTGTTGAACTTGATCTATAGTGCTGTAGGAACAGTCTTATACAGGACAGGGTGTAATGTAACTTTAAAAGTGAAAACAATGTGTTTCTTCACATCTGCATTCCAGCAGAAACCTGACAGATACAATGTTAATCTTTTCTCTCCAGTGAATGTACAATCTTGTTGACTTTTTCTTGTTTGTTATGACAACTGTGACGGTTCCAGGAATTGTGTGTGTTGTTCGGTGTTTAAGGAGTTCGGTTGTGACTATAAAAAGTTCTTCAACAACAGTGTTACGGGTAAGACAAAACCTGATTTCTCACACGATCCAAAGTGAGTAAATTCTCATTTTTCGGCATTAGTAGACCTTTTTCACTGTTTTGGAAATTATGTAGAACATGAATTCAAACGTTGCTAAACACTTGCATGCATAACAGTCGTAAAAATCTCTATACATTCGGTGTATATTTCTATTTCATGTGTAACTCGTCCCGTTGTTCATTTTCTGCTGTAGTTAGTTGGTTAGTCTCGCCGGTGTCCAGTCAAGTGTGCTGTAGTGAGAGGAACTGAAGAAGAAATACTCACTGATGCTCCCGTGGGCAGGGCAAATCACGTGACTCTCACTCACTCTCTCTCTCACACACTCTCACTCTCTCTCACTCGCTCTCTCACTCACTCTCACTCTCGCACTCACTCTCTCGCACTCATTCACTCTCGCACTCATTCACTCTCTCTCACTCATTCACTCTCACTCACTCACTCGCACTCACTCTCTCACTCACTCTCTCGCACTCACTCACTCACTCTCGCACTCACTCTCTCACTCACTCGCACTCACTCTCTCGCACTCATTCACTCTCTCTCACTCATTCACTCACTCTCGCACTCACTCTCTCACTCACTCTCACTCACTCATTCTCACTCTCGCTCACTCTCTCTCTCACTCACTCTCGCACTCACTCTCACTCACTCACTCTCGCTCACTCTCTCTCTCACTCGCTCTCTCTCACTCACTCTCACTCGCTCTCTCTCACTCACTCGCTCTCTCTCACTCACTCTCACTCACTCGCTCTCTCACTCTCACTCACTCGCTCTCTCTCTCTCACTCACTCTCACTCTCTCTCACTCACTCTCACTCTCGCTCACTCTCTCTCTCACTCTCGCTCACTCTCTCACTCACTCGCTCTCTCTCACTCACTCGCTCTCTCTCTCTCACTCACTCACTCTCACTCACTCTCTCACTCACTCTCGCTCACTCTCTCTCTCACTCTCGCACTCTCTCTCACTCACTCTCGCACTCACTCTCGCACTCACTCTCGCACTCACTCTCTCACTCACTCTCGCACTCACTCTCACTCACTCTCTCACTCACTCTCGCACTCACTCACTCTCTCACTCACTCATTCTCTCACTCACTCTCACTCACTCACTCTCACTCTCGCTCACTCTCTCTCTCACTCGCTCTCTCTCACTCACTCTCACTCGCTCTCTCTCACACTCTGTCTCTCTCACTCTCACTCTCTCTCACTCACTCACTCGCTCTCTCTCACTCACTCACTCGCTCTCTCTTACTCTCTCTCACTCGCTCTCTCTCACTCGCTCTCTCTCTCTCTCTCTCTTTGTAATTAACTTAACTACGTCAGATATTATTATCATTGGCATATGTCCATCTAATTTTTCTAATAATGTACCGTTTTTATTGCAAATATTCTACTTGTTTCTGTATTTTAATATATCTTGATCACATTTGATACTTGCATTTCTTATTGCTGCGTGGCAAATACACTGTTTCTGTATTTGTGTATATTTAGAAATAACCACATGGTGGCGACATACAACTTAGAAAGTCTTGTGTTCAGTCGCACAAAACCCCTTAACTTAACCCTTAGTGATAATACACTTATTTACTTAAGGAGTTTCTTGCAACTGGATGTTGATAAAGTCATGTAAGTCTTTCAGAGTCTATTTCCTTCATTATATATTTTTTCACATTACATTATGTTCAAAATTATTATAATCATTAACATTCATTTAACACGTTTTTTTGGCCAAAATATGGACAAAATTGCCAATATTATTGGGGCAATATGTATTTAATATGTAATATTACATATAAAAAATGTAGCTAAATACAGCAAAAATTATAATGAGGAAACCCCCCCCCCCCCCCCCCCCCCACACTTAGTGGTTCTAGACTTCTGTATACATAAAACATACTTAAAACGTGAAAACATAAATAAAAAGGTCCATTTAATGTACTGAGAAAAACCCCAGTATTATTGGAAAATATTTAAAACTTACTGTTTAAAATTAGTATACATGTTGGTCCCACTTTATATTAGGTGTATTTAACTACTATGTACTATTTACAGCAAAAAAAAGTGTATATTTTATTACTTGTGTATTTATTTGGTGCATTGTACTTATTCTATATTGCAAAGCATTAAGGTGGGAAACTGGTAAGGTTAGGTCAGGGTGGGTTCTGTTGATGCAGTTACAAAAATACTTACATGCAGGTATTTTAAAAATATAAACACAGTGTAAAAACAAGCATGTACACAAAAAGTGCATGGTATCAAATTAGTATTTAAAGTGTTAACATTAAATGGAAAGACACTGAAGCTAGTGTGGGTCATATGCATTTTATATCCATCAACCCCATAGCAATGACAATTGTGAATATGGGTAAAGTCTTTGTAATATTTTTTTCATGCTTTCAGATTTTATAACAAGTGTTACTTACAATATTGTAAAGGTTTCGGTTTGTAAGTGTTTACAAACATCTCATTTTATTATAGGATCTTTCATCTATTGATGTTGGGTTATAGACAGATTGATCACAGCAGTGTCTAACAAAGAAATATGATATTAATGCCAGAGTCCCTGTGTGCTTTACAGCTGACGTGTGACAATGCTTTTCTGATAAACAAGAAAATCCAGTCAATCATTTGAACACTTTTACTGTGCCCTCCCTAGTCTTTCTTGAAATACTTGTGATAAATGGTATTAGTTGTGCTACAATTGAACTTCTGGAGGATTACAAGGGCCATCACTCAATAAAAAATACTCAATTGCTAATAAAATAAATTGTAAAAACTATGTATAATGCTTAAGTGCATTCTCACATTTTTATTTAATTTTTTTAAATTTCTGCTCTTGTATAATTCTCATTATTTAAATTATATAATAATCTGAGTGCACATTATTGATCACAGCCATTATATTATTTTACATGTTCTTTGTACCTGTGATGTTTACTTTGGGTAATGTACAGTGTATATAAAAAGCAGGTGGGTTTATGACAGTGACATGACACATGTAATATAACATTTTACTTCTATGTTTATCTTTGATCATTTCAAATTATGAACTACATTATGCAGCGCTCGCTTAACCAGTCACCCATTTGAGTTTCTCATATTATTAAATAAGTGACAGACTTATTCAATCATTCTAGAAGATTGGTTACATGAACGCTGTATAATTCAGTCTGCAGTCAGATGTTAAACTATAACAGTTGTAGCAGCTGCCCCTTTCTAGTAACAGTAAGTCCAGTAAATACTGACAGCCCACCAGACATCATATATTAAACATTTTATTTACCAAGGAGGATTCTTTGTAGTCAGTTGGAGTATATTTTGGGGCTCTAGTAATAATCTTTTGTTACAATAATATAATTTTCTAAAAGATGAAACATGAATTTGAGAACCAACTGTTGTTTGAAGTAGTGCGTTTATTAATGAATACATTACTTTTTCACATTCTGCTGTTGTGAACAGAACGGACACGGCTTGTTCTGTGGTCATGATTGCACTTGTGATTTCAAATCGCATCAGGTGTGAGCCAGAAAACTGATAAGACATCCGTATCTGATTAAGTACAATCTATAAAACATTTAGGAGTTTCTCTCCGTTCTTTAAATGCATACATGCAGAGTTGCTGTTCTGTGATGTCTTTGGTAGTCATGTGACCATTTTTGTTCACAACGTCTTCAGAAATTGTTGTTTCAAAGTTATTTCAGATCCACAGTCGCCTTGGTAAATGTACATTACTACAAACTTTTCAAAGATTCAACGTTGTCCTGTTCCAGTGAGCTCTCCTGAAGTGCCATGATCTCATTATTTCAGTATTGACTGGGTGATTTCGTGTCATATCCAGATTATCCCCAGTGGCATAAGCACACGAATAACCCCTGTTTTCTCTCCCTCTGTCAGTAAGCAGCTATGGCCGTGGGCCCGGTGGACCCCAGAGAGGTGCTGAAAGGAGTTGAAGCTCTGCTGGGGAAGGATGGAGAGCTACGAAGCCTTGAGGGAGTTGCTAAAGTCTTCAGGTGAGAAGCTGTACCATTTTATTTTCTGGATCCCTTCTAAAAAAAAAAAACATGAATTCCTTTACCAATAGTATTTCTAACATGTTTTCCTCTTTTCAAACAGTCTCATGAAGGCCTCGCATAAAATGGTCAGCAGATGCATGTATCTGAACATCTTACTGCAGACAAAGTCACATGATATACTTAATCGGTAAGAATAATATCCATCAAAAGAAACATTTGAAACCTTTTTTGTTCTCAAGGTTATGCTTGACACGGTCTCTTCTGCTCAGGTTTATTCGAGTTGGAGGCTACAAGTTGTTGAACTCTTGGCTCACCTACTCAAAGACCACCACTAACACCCCCCTGTTGCAGCTCATACTGCTCACCCTGCAGAAACTCCCCCTGACTGTGGACCACCTCAAACAGGTACTTCACCACACCACGGCCCATAAAACTCACACGCATGCCCCCGCAGTCTTCTAACACCTGCTCTCTGTTTGTCGTCTTTTCTCCTGCTAGAACAACACAGCCAAGCTGGTGAAACAACTGAGCAAGAGCGGCGAGACAGAAGGTAAGAGCACATGTTCCATGAATCAATGCCAGAAAGTCTGCTTACTGTCTTCCAGAGCTCAGGTTTGATCTCTCTCTCTCTTTCTCTCAGAGCTGAGGAATCTGGCGTCAGTGCTGGTGGAAGGCTGGATGGCTATTATCCGCTCTCAGAGCGTCTCCAGTGGAGCGTCACCCAATGGTAGGGTTTCCAGTTTACATTGTCTTCTATGTCACTCTGTTTTGGTTGAAGTAGACTTAATGCACTTTTAACTTGAATTATTAGAAAGTGGGGTTCCCATTATTGGTGAATAACCCAACTCTGTTTTCCATCAGACAAGAAACGGAAAAAGGAGGATGGAAAAGTACGTCCAGAGGTGAAGCCCCGAGAAAAAGGAGCAGAGGAAGAGAAGAAAGACAAACCAAAAGCTTATGCCCCAAGTCATGCAAAGATCCGCTCTACAGGTTAGTCACCAGTGTTGTTTTAGTGTAATTTATGTAATATTAGAGTATTTAGTTATATTTTAATTAGGTTTTGTTATTATATTTTCATTTTTATTTTAGTTTTAGCAAGTGTTAGTATTTATTCATGATTTAATTAGGTCTTATTACATTTACATTTTAATTTGAGTATTTTTTAAATGTATTATTTTTTTTATTTTTAATATTCCTATTCAACTTTTTTTTGTTCTAGTACTTCAAATTTATTTATTTCAGTTAGTTGCCAAGAATGCAACATTTGTATTTTTTTTTAAGTTTAGAGATTTATATATATATATATATATATATATATATATAAAATGCTACATGTATGTTTTACTTTATTAACTGAAACTGTTGATATTTAATTTTATTAACTTTATCAAAAACAATTTTGTTCAGGTTTATATTTATGATTTTTTTAAACTATATATGTATATATATATATATATAATTTATAATAGATTTTTTTCTCAAATGTCTCAGTAACACATTTAAAAAAAAAAAAGATCTGTTTACATTTACTCTAAACATTGTGTCTTCAGGTTTGGAGGTGGAGAGTCCAGCTCCAGTTCCTGTAAAGAAAACCCCCTCTGCACCCCAACTTGGAGACAAATACAACATCAAGCCTGCTGTTCTCAAAAGACCAAGGTAAGTGGACACTACATTTCTTTCTTGCAAATAATGAACAGGCACATGTAATCCAGGAATCCAGGATAGGCCCTTTCTCATTTGATTCATGATTTGAATGAATTTGAATGCAGTTTTACTTCAGAGGGTTTGAAAATGAATCATTCAACTCATTATGACTGCTGTTCATTCAGCACATCGCCGACCGACGCACCACCAGTGGAGAAGAAGTACAAGCCCCTTAACATCACCCCCAACTCTACCAAAGAGATCAAAGTCAAGCTTATACCCCCGCAGCGTGAGTATGCCCGTTCAGCACCTGCAATATGATTATGATTATCTGCAATAAAGGAGAGTAGGGTTTCCTCTCCGACTGGTGCTTACTATCCATTTCTCTTCCTTTTAGCGATGGAAGGCACTGGATTTTTGGATGCCCTCAACTCCGCTCCAGTGCCTGGCATCAAAATCAAGAAAAAAAAAACAAAAGCAGTTTCCCCTACCACTAACAAGGTGTGCCACATCAGACAACCCTCATTTGTGTTTATGCTTCATGGATTTTAATTTTCCACAGACCCACTGACTGTGTTTTGTTCCTTTCATCTCTCTTGTGCTCCACAGCCCTGTCCGTTTGACAGCAGGCCGCAGTCATACTCGGGCACACAGGCCAAACCGTCTTCCCCTGAGACGCCCTCATCTCAGACACCCCCTCATGAGAACCAAGACCTGGAGCAGCCTGGCACACCCGTGCCCACCGAGGACCCTGATGCCATGGAAACCGGTGAGTCCAGCTGCATAGAAATTGGCCACAGCCTCACTGAGAGCCGTATGAATTTAAAAAGCCTTATTTCGTGTTTTAAGGTGATAAACCCAATGCTCTGTCTGAACCTCGCGGTGAGGAGGAGAGTCTGACTAAGAAAGGAAAGAAAAAGAAAAGCGTTCGGTGGGCGGAAGAGGATCATCTCAAAGAGTACTTCTACTTTGATCTGGATGAGACTGAGAGAGGTAAAGCAACTCTTTCTTCACTTACACTGCAGTTTAAACGTTTGAGGTTTTTAAGGTTCTCTTCAATAAAAAAATACAGTAAAATAAATCATATTATTACAGCATAAAACTATGAATACCTGAAAATACTTCTGGGATTTGGTCAATCATAATCATCACTCTTTTTCCCTCTGTCTCAGTGAACGTTAATAAAATTAAGGACTTCGGCGAGGCAGCCAAACGGGAGCTGATGATGGACAGGCAGACGTTTGAAATGGCTCGTCGTCTTTCTCATGACACCATGGAGGAGAGGGTGCCCTGGACTCCTCCACGACCCTTGACCCTCATAGGCACCCTGGTCATTCCTGGTTCCAGCAGCAGAGAGAAGATGATCCAGAGAGACCGAGAGATGGGCATTCTGCAGGAGATCTTCCTCAGCAAAGAGAGGTAAGACAATTCTTTGATGAAGAACAAAATGACTGAATGATGTTTCAGTTTCTTTTGAAGCATTCTTTCTTTTCTCATATAGTGTGTCATGTTTAGTGATTGTTCATAGCATGAAACAACATTCGCAAAGCATTTAATGCCCACAATAGGCTGGGAATCCGTTTGGATTTGACTGGATTATGAAAAGTGGGCCATGATATTATTAACTACTTAGAATAATATGCACATCATTTTAGTATTATTTATATGCTATTATAGTTTTAAAAAATACTTAGTATTAAAATAATTAGTATCAAAAATATAAATATATATATTTTTTTGCTCTTTATTTTATTTTTTTATTTTTTTCATTTTTTTAGATTTAGTATTTATTTTTTCATTTTCTGTTAGGATTTTTTTTTTTTTATATTAAAAATAGGTTTTTCATCTAATATTATATTTTATTTTAGCTTTAACAAAAAAACGTTTTTAATAGATGTTTAAAAACCCTTGCACAAATGAATCATCCACATTGGTGAATAAAGTAAACCGGGTTAAACATGTCTTTAGGGGCTTTAAATGGACATATATGGTTTGCTTCCCTCTCTGCAGTGTTCCAGACACTTCTCATGAGCCAGACCCTGAGCCGTATGAGCCCATGCCTCCTCGTCTCATCCCACTGGATGAAGTAAGACAGCCAATTACCTTTTCATATGCTTTCCCCTTCCATTTTTTTTCTTGGCATGTTGATGACCTCTTTCGTCTGTGGTGTTGTAGGACTGCAGTATGGAGGAGAATTACATGGAGTCCGCTGACGCTGCTGCCTCCGGCGGCTCTTCAGGCTCTAATGAAAGCTCCAAGCTGCCTCCTGTTCTAGCTAACCTCATGGGGAGTCTGGGCAACAGCGGCCGCAGCCCTCAGGCGCAAGGAAACTGCCCACCAGCCAGTAATAACCCTGCTGTTAATGTGCAGGAACTGCTCTCATCTATCATGGTAAGATTTAATGGCTATATGTACATGTTATTTACCACAAGAATGTGCAAAGGCTTTTATTTTAAGCGTCTCCTCTGGTTTTCAGGGTGCTCAGGGATCTAACCAGACTCCAGAGGACCTGATCAAACAGCCTGATTTCTCAGATAAGATCAAGCAGCTTTTGGGCTCTCTGCAACAAAACCAGAACCAGAATCAGAACCAACCTGCCAATGCTCCGCCAAGTACGTGTTTGCTCTCTTTCAACTGTTTCATTGTAATATAGCTATTTTTTTGCTATGTTTTTAAAATATTTTTTATTTAGGTTTATTTCGGTTTTAGTTGAATAATTTTAGTACTTCAACTTATTTTATTATTCTAATTATTTCTTTATATTTTGTTCAATTTCTCAATTAACCAAAACGTTAAGGTTTTAGTAATTTTTTTGTGATTTTGATTTATTTTTATTTTTATTTTGGTTTATTGATTTTATTAGTTTTTTCAGCTTTAATTTCAGTTTTAGTTCAAGTAATTTTATTTACTTACTTGTATCAGTTAGTTGCCAATCAGTATTTCTAATGAAGTTTTTATTATTATTATTATATTAATATTTTTTTCAAATAACACGTTTTTGAAAATTTGTAACGTGCTTTGGTGATTTTTTTTTAGTTTTGTTATCATTTATTTTTTATTTCAGTTTAGTTTAAGTAATTTTTCAAATTTTCAAGTTTTTTTGAGTTTGCTTTTCATTTAATATCTTTCATTTTATTTCTGATTTATTTCAATAAACTAAAGCCTTTTATTATTAGTTGTAGTTTAGCATAACATTGCTTTGTTTTAAATTTTAAATTTTCTGTAAAGTTGCTTTGCAACGATTTGTATCGTAAAAAGCACTATACAAATAAACTTGAAACTTTGTTGAGGAACAACTGCATGATGGTTAAGCAGCATATTTAATGTTCTGTTTCCCTCACTTCATAGTGAACATGGGTCTGCTTGGCCATGGCCCCGGCATGAACAACATGCCGATGCCCATGAATGGGGGTTTCCCTCCAAACAAGCCCCCTGGACCACATTTCAACCATCCTCCTCCTCCCCACGGCCACGGCCCACCCTTCAACGCCGGCGGCCCACGCATGATGGGTCCTCCACCTGGTCCACAGGGCCGCGGGGCGGACAACGGCAACTACTGGGGCGACGACCCCATGAGAGGAGGCCCGCACCGGGGAGGACACTTCCACCGGGGGAGAGGGAGAGGAGGAGATCCGGGCTTCAGAGGACGAGGGGGACGCGGGGGACCACGCGGGGGACACAACAACATGGGCGGTAAGTTTGATCGCCAAACACTTTGAATTTTCCAACATTTCAAATGAGCATGTAAATAGCAATCTTTTGGTTTAATTTCAGACATGTCAAATAGGCCGGTGTGTCGCCACTTCATGATGAAGGGAAATTGTCGGTATGAAAATAACGTTTGTGCGTTTTACCACCCCGGTGTAAACGGACCACCGCTTCCTCCCCAGCACGGTCACTGACACACCGAAAACTGCTGTTCCTTGAACTCGCCACTAGTGGGCAACAGGACTCGAAATGAGCCTCGTGGACAGAAACTGAAACCGGGGACGTTTGCGTCTGTGACAGCACAATCCCACCTGCTTCCTCCGACTGTACAGTAGCTTCATTGGATCTGAACATTAATATTTCTTCTCCATTTGACACTACTTTCCCTCATCTGGAAAGCTGTGAGAAGATCTGAGATCCTCTGTGAAGAGACACATTACTTGACTTTGCAGCCTACCTGTAAATAGTGATTCCTGGAGATGTATATTTTTTATTGTGATTCTGTGTACCACTGACCTGACTGCTAAAGATTGTACTACAGAACTCTGTAACCACTAGGACACGATGTAAATAGTTCCTTAAGCTTCTCCCGGTGGCAAAAACCCAAGATACTGGATGTGCAGTTTTCTAAATTATAATACACACGTCAGTCATTCTTTGCCTAATGAACTCGACACTTTGAAAAGTTATCACCGCACAGAACGTTTATTTTAAGATTTTCTGGTTGAATTAAGTCCCTCTGACGGTGCCGTACTGTTTGATGTTTTATTTTCAGGTTTCTATTGAAGAGGGAGAAACCGTACTTCTATGAAATGTGTAGATGCTTTCCTTTTTCACACACGGTTCTCGTTTTTTCAGTCCACGATTTTTAGTTTTAAAGATACTGAAATGTATTGATGAATTGGTATTATGTTCACTTTTCGCCCTGAATTGGAAATAGTATGTACGCGGGGGCTTAATACTATTCAGAACCGCTACCTTTTGCATTTTTGAAGTCCCACTGAATACTTGAATCGATACTTTGTGATGGAAAGTGATCCTAGCCTGCTAAAGAAATATCAGCTGTTGTTCTGTGTAGTGTGATAATCAGGAGAATTAGTGCTGATTTCCTACTTGATGTTGATGCTGTGGCTTGATTTGCTGTGCGCTCGTGTTCTCGGACCCGTGTGGGTCTGTCCTGCTCTATCAGTGTTAAGCTGAGCCTAACCTGGGCTACAAACCACTGTCATCAAGGCCAAATGTATTCAGGTGTTTTCTGTGAAAACCGTGGCCATTGTCTCTTGTGGGACTCCATTTTCTTTTTCTTTTTTTTTTTTGTTGGATTCACTATTGTCCCATGATTTTATTTTGATACAAGTCTGATGATTTTTCTTTTCTATTGTTGTTGGAGAGATGTCTATGTGTCAGAGCGCCGCATAAACACAATAAAAGGCACATTCAGAAATGTAAGGTGTTTTTCTACATGTAAATGAATAAACGTTACGAAATCCACGTTTTCTCTCAAATTAACTTTTATTTTCGGAGCAAGTGTCAGTATATAAGGACCACTCTCTCAGTTTTTTTTTTTTTTTTTTTTAACCTCTAAATGCCTCGTCGGTTGAATATGTCAAACAGGGTTACGTTAGGATTCGACTGAATCCTCCCCCTCTCATGGCAGTCCGGCCAAATGGCTAACAGTCGTTTGCGGGTGCGTTTGCCTTCCTGTCTGTCAGATCCGTGTTCTCAGGACGCAGTCGGTGCAGATGGCTGCTGGAGTGTGTGTGATCAGGAGTGGCCTGTGCACCCAGCCCTCGAGAGCAAATATTGACTTCAGCTTCATAGAATTTCTGCCTGTGTGCAAGGAGTTAAGGACACCTCAGCAATTCATTCATCCTATGTAACGCTCATTTCATTTTTACAAGCTTTCAGTGTGTACTCCTCAGCCACTGTACGGGAAAAAACGTTACAAAAAAATCAAATAAAATCTAGGTCTTTGCTGTGTATAAAAACATCCTGTGATCGTGATGCTATACTAGATTCCTGTTGACAAATGTTCTTTTACATGCTTTTACTTCCAAGGAATTCATCTGTTTGTTTAATGTTAATTTCAAGAAAATAACTAAATCAAGCAAGATGTATTTAGACAAGTAACTCATTTTGGTAACAGGGCTGGAAATAAATGTAAGAATGTAAGTAAGTGTAAATGTAAGGATTCTATTGTTTTGTTCTATTGTTGATTCTATTCAAAGGTTTTGGGGTCAGTGAGATTTATTTTATTTCAGCAAGGACACATTAAATTGATCAAAGGTGACAGTAAAGATTGTTACAAAGTATTCAAATGCAAAATATTTATGTATTAACTGCAAAATTATGTTCTATTAATATTATATAAATTTAATACAATTATATAGTTTTATATAATTAAATAATACAAAACGAATTATTATATAATACATTATTACAAACTATTGAAATACAAAATATATTTCTATATTCATTTTAGTAATATAAATGTTATATACTGTATATATAAAGTGTGTATAAATATATATTTGTACAAAATATTTTCATTTAAAATAAATGCTGTCCTTTTGTCTTTCTATTAATCAAAGAATCTTGAGAAATAATGTATCAATAATCAATAATGCATGGTTTCCACAGAAACATTCATCACAACTGCTTTCAGCATTGATAATAATAATAACAATGTGTCTTGAGCAGCAAATCGGCATATTGGGATGATTTCTGAAGGATCATGTGACACTGAAGAATGTTCAGCTTTTGTCATCATAGGGAAAATGATTTACTTATTAATTAAAATAGAAAAAAACATTTACTTTAAATGTTAATAATATTTTACAATATTACAGTTTTATTTTTTGACCAAATTAATGCAGACTTGGTGGGTATAAGAGACTTCTTTCAGAAGAAAATAAGATTAAATTAATAAAATACATATTATTGTATTATTTAAAATAATGTTATTTTATTATATATTTTGTATTATATATATATTATACTATCATTAGATGTTCATTATTATTATTATTATTATTATTATTATTATATACATTTCCTGAAGGTTAAGCACCCTTCACTTTGACATAAGGGTCAGAAAATAGTTGACTTAGTTGAAGCACATCCTCGGCTGTGTTTTGTTCGTGACAAACCTTTAGTTTGTAAGTCGGAGTAAGTCATAGCTGTCATTTTCAGCACAATATAGGGGCAGTCAAATGTCCAGCTGAAGGACAGAGAGTGAAGTCATAAAAAGACTGGATTGATTGCGTCTGAGTGGTGTTGGTTGTCGTGGAGGCCCTGACTACATTCCACTCGGCACAAAGACGCCATTGATCCTCCGCTGTCACATTATCCCACAGCCACTAGTGGAAAGAGGCTTTGTCAGGCCTTCGTTTCAGAGAAGATGAAATCAGCTATAAACATGCACCTCTCCAGTTTACAGCAATGACTTGCTCCGGAAATGTTAACATGGTCTGTACGTTTGAGCAACTCGACAGAGGATGTTACACAATAACGTTTACAACTGTCATGTAATTCAGATATCAGCAGATTATTACGATAAAAGGTCACTGTGATGCTTTTCCTTTATTAGAATTAGTACGGAAAAGTGGTAGAAGTAACAAAACAAAATAAAATAAAATATTAATTTTATTAATAATTAATGTTAAAATAAAAGGTGATGCTTTTTCCTTCAGTAGAATTAGTACGGAAAAATTATATAAATAAAAAAGGTCACTGGTGATACTTTTCCTTTATTAGAATGTATTAGAAAAGTGGTTGAAGTAATAAAATTAATTAAAATAATTGAAAAAATTAATGAAAATAAAGTGATTTATTTTTTTAAATAATAAAACAATAATACAATTAATAAAATAATAATAATAATAAAAGGTGATGTAACGAAATAAAATAAAATAAAAATTATTAAAATAAAAGGTGATGCTTTTTCCTTCATTAGAATTAGTATGGAAAAATAATAAAATAAACATAAAAATAAAATAAAGTAAAGTAAAATAAAATACTTTAAATATTATTAACATAAAAGGTGTTGCTTTTCCTTTACTAGAATTGGTACGGAAAAGTGGTAGAAGAAATAAAATAAAAGAAAAAAGATAAGAAATTAAATTGAAATATTATTAAAAGAAAAGGTCACTGGTGATGCTTTTCCTTTATTAGAATTAGTACGGAAAAGTGGTAGAAGTAACAAAACAAAATAAACTAAAATATTAATTTTATTAAATAATAATTAATGTTAAAATAAAAGGTGATGCTTTTTCCTTCAGTAGAATTAGTACGGAAAAATGATCAAATAAACATAAAAATAAAATAAAATACTTTAAATATTATTAACATAAAAGGTGTTGCTTTTCCTTTACTGGAATTGGTACGGAAAAGTGGTAGAAGTAATAAAATAAAATAAAATAAAAAAGGTCACTGGTGATACTTTTCCTTTATTAGAATGTATTAGAAAAGTGGTTGAAGTAATAAAAGAAAATAAAAAAATTAATGAAAATAAAGTGAATAATTTTTTTAAATAATAAAACAATAAAAAAATATAATTTAAAATAATAATAATAATACTAAAAGGTTACACAGAAAAAAGTGAAGTCATCTTCATACAGAATCAGTCATCTTAAGGACACGTCAGTCCTTTCGAAGGAACAGTGTTCGAGAAACTTCCTTTTGAGCGCTTCATTAAGCAAATGTTTGCAAGGCAGGATTTCACCAGCAAACTACACATTGTATATAGACTATTAAGAATCCTGTATACAATACACACCCTATTATATTACAGAAAACACATTATAATGCACAAATAAGTTATAATGTCAAAATACTCCCACATGCAAATAGTAGACTTCCTTCAGATGCAATTATAAACTGTTTAAAAACATACTCTACAGTTAGACTCAAATTTATCAATTCATTGTGTTTGATGAGAATATGATAAAAATACGCATCAAGATATTCCTGCGTGATAAACAGGTTTCTCATTCTAACACCACGTCGTGCCTCAAATTACAAAAGCCCATTACAGTACCCCTCTGACATCACGGATCAGAGCTCAGCCAATCCTAAAAAGCCCAATCATGCTAGTCTTCAATAGCTTATCACGACTATCTGCCGACCTGTCCTTGGTGCCGAGCCAAATAAAAGAGTTGATGCAAAGTTTGAAGTGCAGAATCAAATTCCAGAGCAGAAGAGAGGTGGGCGGAGCCTCAGCTGAACAGGTATAAGAGCCGTGCAGGTGAGACAGAGAGAGAGAGAGACCAGTCTGAACACACTCAACAGGGAAGCCGAGAACAGGTGAGGAGCCAACATCACAGGAACTTTCTCTGGAGGCTTTGCTAGAGGTGGCTTTCGAGCGTGCAACACCATTAACTGCCGGGGACTGATGTTAAAATCATGCTTTGTCATTTCCTAACAGCTATATAACTCGAAATGTTTCGTTCTTTCAGCTTGTGAAGATGCTTAAAGGAATACTCGCAGTGCTCTTGGTCCTGGTGACCCTGTCTTCTGCCATGGGGAAGCCTGAGAAGACCACTCCCAAGAAAGAGAAGAGGATTCCTCAGACTCTCTCCAGAGGTCAGCTTCAGGAAAACATCCCCAAAATATTGCTTTTTAGCAGCTTTTGTAAAATGCTGCTGCTTTAGTGAGCCGTTAACTCATATAGCATAGCTGTAGCTATACATATGAAGTAGTATTATTAGAAATGATTCTAGTGCTTTACTGTGTGAAATGCTGTCTCATACCTCACTTTGTGCAATACTGATGTAGTAGCAGGCGGCTGAGTAGATGTTGCTTTTTAGGATTCATATTCAGTATTCTTTTCCTTTCAGGATGGGGAGATCAGCTGATTTGGGCACAGACGTACGAGGAAGCTCTGTTTTGGTCACGGTCCAAGTGAGAAATGCTTGTATTATACAGAATGATAGAGTATGGTGTTCAATAATAAGTACTTCTCTGTGTATAGAAGGTCTGTTGATGATTTTGTATTGATTTATTTTTTTACAACTTGTATAATCTGTTTAATTAGGAACAAGCCCCTCATGATCATCTTTCATCTGGAGGACTGTCCACACAGCCAGGGTAAGGATTGATTTTTATTTGGACACTTTCACTGCTGGTTCGTTTGAAATTCTCAATCGCCTCTTCATGTCTGTGTTGTGATTTTATTTTGACATGTTTTATATCATGTGAGCAGCTCTGAAGAAGGCCTTCGCCGAGGATAAAGACATCCAGAAGCTGGCCGATGACGATTTCGTGATCTTGAACTTGGTGGTGAGTAAAACTTTACCATTTGTTAACAGTTAATTAGCCTACACTGGTTTCTAAAGCATTCATTAATCTGAGTTCATGTTGACTCCATTATCTACTAATGCGAAGTTAAACACTGTAAGTTCATAGGCCTATTACTCAGTGGCTAACATGTACTAACAATATTTAAACGAACAAAGATTTATAAATACTGCAACAAAAGTATTGTTCGTAGTTCATGTATAATGCAGTCTGTGGATTAATCAGTAGGCTCTAGTCTTAGTGTATAAATGTCTGTAAATTCTCAATCGCCTCTTCATGTCTGTGTTGTGATTTTATTTTGACATGTTTTATATCATGTGAGCAGCTCTGAAGAAGGCCTTCGCCGAGGATAAAGACATCCAGAAGCTGGCCGATGACGATTTCGTGATCTTGAACTTGGTGGTGAGTAAAACTTTACCATTTGTTAACAGTTAATTAGCCTACACTGGTTTCTAAAGCATTCATTAATCTGAGTTCATGTTGACTCCATTATCTACTAATGCGAAGTTAAACACTGTAAGTTCATAGGCCTATTACTCAGTGGCTAACATGTACTAACAATATTTAAACGAACAAAGATTTATAAATACTGCAACAAAAGTATTGCTCGTAGTTCATGTATAATGCAGTCTGTGGATTAATCTGTAGGCTCTAGTCTTAGTGTATAAATGTCTGTAAACTGAACGGCCTTGTTTTTGACAGTACGAGACCACAGATAAACACTTGTCTCCTGATGGCCAGTACGTTCCCAGAATCCTCTTTGTTGGTGAGTTGATTTAATGATGCCTGATACATAAATAATGCTGCACATTATGTAGTAGGCCTAGTCTGCATAAATGATTCCAATCCTCCTGCACTGCAGATCCCTCCATGACCGTCCGTGCAGACATCACTGGCCGCTATGCCAACCGCTTGTACGCCTATGAACCCGCCGATATGAAACTCTGTAAGTCCGAAAGCTGTTTTCATGCCAGAAATACGTTATTCAGCGACACCAGGCCGACAGCATCATTCGTGTGCTTTGTTTCCACAGTGTTGAGCAACATGCAAAGAGCCTTGAAGTTTCTGAAGACGGAGTTGTGAACACAAAAGCCCAGTCTTTTTGATATTACTTCCCTGAGGGTCACTATTATTCTGTCATTCGTTTACTGACGGCATGAAGCGCACTGTAAAGCCCTGTACAAACTTATTATATGTTCTTCGAGTAGATTGTTACGGTAAACTTCAGGCTTTCTTTTCATGTTTTTGTTTTTGTTTTCCTCCAATAAATGAAGTCGTGTGAAAATTCGTTTCTCCTGGTAATTTGTTTATGCTGTTATGTTCGCACCGTTTATTCAAAGCAGAGGGCATGTGGGTTTTCCAGTTAAAGGGACAGTTCACGCAAAAATGAAAATTCTGTCATCATTTAAAACCTTTATGAGTTAATTTCGTCTGCTAAACACAAACGAAGATATGTATAAGAATGTTGGCAACCAAATAGTGGCTGGTAGCCACTGACTTCCATACTATGGAAAAAATACTATGGAAGTCAATGGCTACCGCTGGATAGTTTGTCTAACTGTCACTTTAACGGAGTCTCCTCCGGCTAGTATCCTGGTGGGAGGAGTCAGAGTAACTAAGGCAGCATGCTTTCCTAAGTCATATGGTTGCATGGTTACTAACTGTCTTTGTTATACACTGAGCGCTTGGCCTGAGCGTGTCAGTCTCTGATTGGTTTGAGGTTAAAGGAAGTTGCTCTCCTGAAATACTCCAAAAAGGATTTCAGACAATAAAAGCAATGTGGAAACCCAACAATTAAGTGATACAAAGACAAAACTGGCCAAAGTGCAATTGTGTCCTCAGGGTCTTTATTATTATTATTTTTTTTTCTGATTTCAAATGCTTGAGAGTGTAGTTCACAGAACCATTGGATATAGATGTACATTTCAAAGAGGAATTCATGCAAGAAGCCAAAACGATACACAAAATCAAGTTGGTAAAGTAACACGCACGTAATGGAAAATAAAATAAGCAGATAAATATGTCATATGAAATTTGAGATCGTTAAACAGTGCATTCTTCTATTAATTTTTCAATTGCATTTTCATACTAATTATGAAGTCCAATAGTGTATCTAGCATTCTGACAGTTATTTATTGCAACTTTATTGCATTAGAGTGATTCCGAGCAACTTTAACGCTATCATTCGTGCTAATTGAAAATGTGTGCATTTAATATAAGAAATTGATGTGGAATTGATATGGATACATTTTGATATTGTCAGCATATATACACTGTCAACATAAATAGTGTCGTGCTCACACACTGCATGTTTTGATCACAGCAGCTCATTTTCTGTAAATGTTTTTCTTTTGCCACATAAAACTGTTAACATAAAATCAAGTGGTCTTTGTTGTTTAGCCCATTAGTGTAGGTACTGCATACTGGTATTTGGTGTTCTGTTCTTTCATACTGTCAACATAAATAGTGTCGTGCTCACACACTGCATGTTTTGATCACAGCAGCTCATGTTCTGTAAATGTTTTTTTTTGCCACATAAAACTGTTAACATAAAATCAAGTGGTCTTTGTTGTTTAGCCCATTAGTGTAGGTACTGCATACTGGTATTTGGTGTTCTGTTCTTTCAATGAGAGGAATTCTTCAAGCATAAGTACAACCTCATAACGTACAGTACTGTACTGTCACACTGTACTCTTGAAAAATCAAGCACGTATTAATATATAGCAGCAAGAACACGCAGGCTGGTCTCCTCTTCAGTAAAAGCAAACGCACACTCTCTTTAACAACTCCAATGAGAAATCCAGTGGTCAGACGACAAATCCAGAGAATTCATCATAAGAATCAAACCTACAGGAAGGCGCTGGGATTCGCTCGTGGGTCCTTTTGGTTTCTGTATATATACGTCAGCCAAACTCCCAGGATCTGAAACGAGCAGGAAACAAAAATGAAACTTGTAGATGAGGTTGTTTCTTTATCTGAATAGATTTAGAGAAATTTAGCAATACATCACTTGCTCACCAATGGAGCCGACTCTCTTTAACAACTCCAATGAGAAATCCAGTGGTCAGACGACAAATCCAGAGAATTCATCATAAGAATCACACCTACAGGAAGGCGCTGGGATTCGCTCGTGGGTCCTTTTGGTTTCTGTATATATACGTCAGCCAAACTCCCAGGATCTGAAACGAGCAGGAAACAAAAATGAAACTTGTAGATGAGGTTGTTTCTTTATCTGAATAGATTTAGAGAAATTTAGCAATACATCACTTGCTCACCAATGGAGCCGCTGCAGTGAATGGGTGCCGTCAGAATCAGAGTCCAAACAGCTGATAAAAACATCACAATAATCCAGTTCATCAATTAATGTCTCATGAAGCAAAAAGCGGTGTGTTTCTAATAAATCCATCAAGGCTTTTAAAACTTCTAAGCTTCTTTCAATAATCCATAATAACTTTCTCCAGTGAATAGTGCATCCCCTGTCCTCCCAAAACAATAAACACCGACACATTTGTTCACAATTATTTTGGACCGTTTTCACTTGTAAACTGTGGTTGACCTCTGCATATTTCTCTCCTGATTCAGATGAGCCGACTTTTTCACTGGACATAGCAATATTATGGATAGAGGTGTCATGTTTTATCTGGAAGCAACGGTTTTTAGTTAAACATGTCTTAATGATGGATTTGTTTATTAGAAAATGCAACTTCACAAGATGTCAATCGATGGACTGGAGTCATGTGGACTACTTGTGGACTATTGCGATGTTTCCATCAGCTGCCTGGACCCCCACTCCGACGGCACCCATCCACCGCAGAGCATCCACCGGTGATGCCAAATTTCTCCTGATCCGCCTTGACGAAGAAACAAACTCCTCTACATCTTGGATGGCCTGAGGGTGAATACATCTTCAGCAAGTTTTCATTTTCTGGGTAAACTATTCCTTTAACTTGTTTTCTGTACTAGTCTTTCTTTTTTAAGATGCCTGATAATGAGGAAAAATCCAGAAAACATTCTGGTTGTGGAATTCAGTGAAGTATCTGAAAGAAGAGAAAGCAGGAGTTAGTTTAGCAGGCTGACCTCAGTGAAGCTAAAGAAGAGGCCGATCCCTCCGACGAAGCGCAGCACCTCACCGGCGTGCTCCTGGATCTTTGCTGCACATGTGGTGCAAGTGCTGTAATGAAAGCAGGGCTGCACAAGGGCAAAGAAACATTGACAAGAGCACCAAGTTATTATAATAGAACAAATTATGTGATTGTCTTGTGTGAACTTGTCACACACTTGCAGTTCGTTATGCTATCATCAGCATGCAAATTAGTAGCACAACCATTATCACCCACACAGGTGTCATTTATATCATTCAGCACATGCAATGCTACAGGAACACTACAAAAGAACAATGAAACATGTGTGTCAGAGGAAATTACAGCGGCACAGCTTCCATTGATATCCATGTGAGAGAAACCGCAGCAGTTCAGACTCTTCTCCACATCCCTCTGAGTGGTCAGAGAGTTATTCCAGCCCACCTCCAACAGGTGATTCTACACACAGGGATGAAACACAATATGAAACAATCAATAAAAAACAAAAGACTCGGTTTATACAGATCTAAATTGGCAGGTGTAGCAAAAAAAAAGTTCATTTTAGACCATTTATTTGGAAAAAAACAAATATATGTCTATTTTTATATATACACCATTCCAGTGTTTAAGGACAGTGAGATTTTTGATGTTATTGAGTCCCTTATGCTCACCAAAGCTGCATTTATTTGATCGAAAATACAGTAAAAACAGTAATATTGTGAAATATCATTACCGTTTAAAATAACTGTTTTCTATTCAAATATATTTTAAAACAAAATTTATTCCTGTGATGAAAAGTTGAATTTTCAGCATCATTACTCCAGTCTTCAGTTAAGTTTCCTTCAGAAATCAATTTAATATGCTGATTTGCTGCTCAAGAAACCTATCTTCTTATTAATATTAAAAACAGTTGAGCTAATCAAACCATATCAAACCATGATACTATTTTCAGGATTCTTTGATCTATTTGATACTTTCATTTATTTGAAATAGATTTTTTTGTCACATTATAAATGCTATAGGCTAAATACTTATAAATACTTTTCAGCAATTTAATGCATCCACGTTGAATTAAAGCATTAATTACTTTCAAAAAATTGTATCTTACCTGTTGTTCCTCATTGATAGCCAGACATGCACTAGACACTGAAAACTGAACTACAAACACCAGGAACAGGATGATCATGTACTATTGTCAATGAATTAAGGATTAAAACACAAACATACAATGCAGAAATAATTATAATGCCACTATTAACACCAAGTCTACCCCTATCTTCAGTAGAATTTAGAAGTCCTGTATTAAATATCAGAACTTTCAATAAAACAAAATTAGATTCAACAAGTCATAAAGTAAATTAAGGCACATTTGGTGGTTGTTTGTGGTTTTTCTCTTGAAATCCAATAATAAATGGCAATGACATGCAGAATTGTATTACGCTGTAAGCTATGCTTAAAATACAAACATGACTTATTTGATGTTTTATTGAGTATGAAATGTTATATACTGAAATAGTGTCCTATCCCTTAACAGACTTAACAATCATGCAACCATTCCTCCCTGAGTAACAGCGTGCAAACATATATAAGCTTCTTCCAGGGCATTTTTAGTAATGGCCCAAATTCATCTTGGGATTCGTTCTTTTCATTTCATTTGAGAGCTTTTACATTGCAAGTGCAGCAGTTCAGACTCTTCTCCACATCCCTCTGAGTGGTCAGAGAGTTATTCCAGCCCACCTCCAACAGGTGATTCTACACACAGGGATGAAACACAATATGAAACAATCAATAAAAAACAAAAGACTCGGTTTATACAGATCTAAATTGGCAGGTGTAGCAAAAAAAAAGTTCATTTTAGACCATTTATTTGGAAAAAAACAAATATATGTCTATTTTTATATATACACCATTCCAGTGTTTAAGGACAGTGAGATTTTTGATGTTATTGAGTCCCTTATGCTCACCAAAGCTGCATTTATTTGATCGAAAATACAGTAAAAACAGTAATATTGTGAAATATCATTACCGTTTAAAATAACTGTTTTCTATTCAAATATATTTTAAAACAAAATTTATTCCTGTGATGAAAAGTTGAATTTTCAGCATCATTACTCCAGTCTTCAGTTAAGTTTCCTTCAGAAATCAATTTAATATGCTGATTTGCTGCTCAAGAAACCTATCTTCTTATTAATATTAAAAACAGTTGAGCTAATCAAACCATATCAAACCATGATACTATTTTCAGGATTCTTTGATCTATTTGATACTTTCATTTATTTGAAATAGATTTTTTTGTCACATTATAAATGCTATAGGCTAAATACTTATAAATACTTTTCAGCAATTTAATGCATCCACGTTGAATTAAAGCATTAATTACTTTCAAAAAATTGTATCTTACCTGTTGTTCCTCATTGATAGCCAGACATGCACTAGACACTGAAAACTGAACTACAAACACCAGGAACAGGATGATCATGTACTATTGTCAATGAATTAAGGATTAAAACACAAACATACAATGCAGAAATAATTATAATGCCACTATTAACACCAAGTCTACCCCTATCTTCAGTAGAATTTAGAAGTCCTGTATTAAATATCAGAACTTTCAATAAAACAAAATTAGATTCAACAAGTCATAAAGTAAATTAAGGCACATTTGGTGGTTGTTTGTGGTTTTTCTCTTGAAATCCAATAATAAATGGCAATGACATGCAGAATTGTATTACAATAGCTATGCTTAAAATACAAACATGACTTATTTGATGTTTTATTGAGTATGAAATGTTATATACTGAAATAGTGTCCTATCCCTTAACAGACTTAACAATCATGCAATCATTCCTCCCTGAGTAACAGCGTGCAAACATATATAAGCTTCTTCCAGGGCATTTTTAGTAATGGCCCAAATTCATCTTGGGATTCGTTCATTTCATTTCATTTGAGAGCTTTTACATTGCAAGTGGTCCACTGTTGTGCACTCTCATTTGTCATGTTAACTGCACCACTCTATGGTCACAGAGTGAAATGCATTACATGAGCAGATCATAATTATGTCTCATCTCCAAAAGCAATGAAGAAAAATAGCATCTCATGCAATGAAATGCAAACATACATTATTACACATACACATACACACACACACACACATACACACATACACACACATACACACACATACACACACACGCGTCTGGTTTGCTATCCTTGTGGGGACTCTCCATAGGCGTAATGGTTTTTCTACTGTACAGACTGTATTTTCTATTGCCCTACACCAACCCTACCCCTAAATCTACCCCTTACAGGAAACTTTCTGCATTTTTAGATTTTCAAAACACTTCATTCTGTGTGATTTATTAGCTTGTTTACCCGTGGAGACCTCAATTTAGGTCCCCACAGTGACATGAGTCCCCATGAGTCTGTGTGTATTCCGATTTAAGTCCCCACCAGAATAGAAAAACAGGTACACAAACACACACTGTTTTGTTTGCATGAGGCCATTTAAAATACTTATATACACATTCATAAACTTTTTGATACATTAGAAAGAAAATCAATATAATTATCTAGCTATTTTGTTCCAATTCATAATTTTTGACTGATTACACAGTTTGTCTCCAGCGGTGTCCAGTTTACCAGAAGACACTGGACACTACAAGCATTGATACAACAAGAAAATGAGGATTCATACAAACTGTTTTACATGAATCACATCATTAACTTTCAGACCCTGATAGAATTATTGCAAAACAATTAAAATTATTTAATCATTCTGCATTTATTCAAAACCCGAACAAATGAGATGTAGAGCACCGGATGATCACAGTAAAGGATACAAAGAACAGCAGAACCTGGTGGTGCTTCATGGCACCAATAAGTCCAGCTAGGGCAACAAAGAAGAGGAAGACCCCCACTCCAATGATGCCACCCACCACCTGGAAGCTCGACACCAACCCAAAACACTTGCCCCAGGCAGCGATGCCAATCATCAGCAAACTCACCATCTGAAGACAGGGAGGAACAGTACTGTTAGTGTTAAGTAAAGACACTTTCATTAATGGAAACAATTAGATGGAATTCCAACATTTTTAACAACTAAAATTGAAATGAAAATTAGAAATGTTTCCTTGGAAACTAAGTAATAAAGTTACTAAAAGTAATTAAAGCTAAATTAAAGCTAATAAAAAATAAATAAAAAAATAGTAGAAATGTCAAAAGCACAAAAACTGAAAATATAATGAAAGCCTGAATGAAAGCCAAATCAAAATATTAATAAAACTATTATAGCCATTCTCAGGAGATAAATGTTTTGATTTTCAATATTTCATATAATATGTATTACATTTTCCCGATTCAAAAAGAGACATGCCCTATAATATTCAGTAAAGTGGTCAACTTTTCCCCCCAGAATTTTTTAAATAATGATGACAGATTCTTAAATATCTAGTTATGTGACTTATTTGATGTTTTATTGAGTATGAAATGTAATATACTGAAATAGTGTCTTAAATATCTAGTTATAGCCTAGGAAAAACTAAAAAGTTACTAATTGATAGACTAATTAAATGAAACACACACACACACACACACACACACACAGTTAAAGTTAAATCTATCAAATAATGTGACTGGGTTCAGGTTCCTGTTAACTCTGTCAGTGGTGATTCATGGGAACACAACTGGCAGGCAAATGGTACCGTTATCTGCGGATGGCCCAACAACAGCTGTGATGCCACTTGAGCAATAAAACACAAGCACACCTTATAATACAAAATGTTTCAGCCAGTCCATATCCCTTAAAGCAGAAATGAGTATTTTGAGGTTAGTCCATATTGCTCTCATTGACCAACAAAGAGAAACGACCCCTGAGCTTCTGCTTCAAGTGAATGATCCCAGCAGATCATGATGTTTTCTTTCTAATCTAATGTAAATAGTGAGAGCAGACAAGAGCTTAATCAGCAGCACCACAATATCAGCTCCAGACTAATGAAGCAGCAGGATATCTGCATAAGTAGAACAAAAGCAGGATGTGACTTTGCCAAAACAGACGCGCGTGAAACTAGACCCGCTCATCGGCCTCATTCCACACAAAGAATCTCTCTAAATAATTCACATGAAGACATGAGACACAGAGGACCGCAATACAGCCGCACAGAAACACCTCCTGTATGAGTATTTGTAAAGCAGAGGTGCTAATGTCATGATAAAGGCCGACAAAGATGTTCCATATGGTTGCATCCATTCTCGCATTGGTTACTCACAACATAGAGGATGTTGAGCGCGCACAGGGAATTCTTGGAGCAGGTGAATCCAGCGCAGCCCATCTTGAATGTGCTTTTTCCGGACAAAAGCTTTCACCCGTGTAAATGTCTGTTTCTGGAAATATCAGTTACATGACAAGCAAATCGAACAATTTAAAAGACGAAATCACCACAATATCAGCTCCAGACTAATGAAGCAGCAGGATATCTGCATAAGTAGAACAAAAGCAGGATGTGACTTTGCCAAAACAGACGCGCGTGAAACTAGACCCGCTCATCGGCCTCATTCCACACAAAGAATCTCTCTAAATAATTCACATGAAGACATGAGACACAGAGGACCGCAATACAGCCGCACAGAAACACCTCCTGTATGAGTATTTGTAAAGCAGAGGTGCTAATGTCATGATAAAGGCCGACAAAGATGTTCCATATGGTTGCATCCATTCTCGCATTGGTTACTCACAACATAGAGGATGTTGAGCGCGCACAGGGAATTCTTGGAGCAGGTGAATCCAGCGCAACCCATCTTGAATGTGCTTTTTCCGGACAAAAGCTTTCACCCGTGTAAATGTCTGTTTCTGGAAATATCAGTTACATGACAAGCAAATCGAACAATTTAAAAGACGAAACTGTAGTTGAGCAACGAGAAAATAAGACGCGTGTGGTTCAGACCAATTCACAGTGAACGCTGATGCAGGACAGGTTGCCAGATCCCCAAATAAAATACATCCTTTTTTTTTTAGGATGAAGGTGAGCTGCTTAGTGTTGTTTTCAAGCATAGAGGATTTTGACTGCAAATGTAATAATATAATAGTTGTTTGTTCCTGTATTTAAAAAATACATGATTGTACACAGTGGATGCACAATAGTTATGCTATAGTAATTCTTAACTTTCTCCCCGTGGACTGTAAATGAAAACACATGTCTACCACTAAACTAACACATTGTACTTATATGATTTAACTTATATAATTTGTACAACTATAATTATATGGTACATTAATACATTATATATTATTTTAATTATAATTAACAATTTTTTAATTTGTACTTTGGAATTTCTTTATTATGTATTATGTATAAAAAATATATACTGCTCTCACTAAATAGGTTCCTCTGGCAGGCTCCTTTCCGATAACTAGGAGCAAATTAATAATAATAATAATAATAATACTAATAACTCATTACTCATTTACATGTTTTTTTGACACGCTAAAAACAATAATTTTCCAATGTGTCAGATACCATAACAAGTTGTATGAATACCAAGTTATATTTGTATTCTCCTAAAATATTTATACACATTTTATATGCATTCCAAGGAGGCTTTACTCTTGACTTGGCAACCATGTACGGAGGCGGGACTGGCTGTGCGCGGTAAACCTGATTGGTCAGTTTTCTTGAATAATGCTCGCACAGACTCATTGACAGGACGTGTTTGCACGTATTCCCGCCTCCCCTTAGTAACAGTTGCGAGGACAAGCATTTATTTGAGACAACATTAATGGCCACGAAGTCAAAGCTGAAAAATGTTGATTATAGTATGTCTGTAACTATAAAGGGGTTAGCAAATAATCCATGATATTGCAGTAGGCTACATACTGTGCATCTTCCAGTCTATGCCTCTGTGTCTGTATTCACAGTTTGTGCTGAAAAAACAAATATTATATTGATATTTTTACATTAGGTTTAACATTCTTCCATCCTTATTTTTATTAATCTTAATTAATGTGAAGTGTATTATAGGTGGGCCAGGACTTTTTTTTGTCAAAGATTGTATATACAGTTGATTAAATACAAGTTGACGTTTGTGACAAAATGCCCCATGTCAGTGTATGAAATAATTTGTCACAATGTAAACTAGGCTACTATTAAACAGTCCATTATAAGTTTATAAGACTTTAAACAGTCAAATATTTAAGAAACACAACAAAAATTAAAAGGTAAGATTCTTGTCTGAAGATGCTAGTGTGATTTTATTGTGTTCACTTGTTTATCATTTAAAATGTAATTACATTTCTTAGGAATTAAATGGTTTTGAACTGCCATAATATATATCATGGGGACTCGTGTCACGGTGGGAACCTAAATTAAGGTCCCCACGGGTACAAAAGCTTATAAATCATACAGAATTAAGTTTTTTGAAAATCTAAAAATGCAGAAAGTTTCCTGTAAAGGGTAGGTTTAGGGGTAGGGTTGGTGTAGGGCAATAGAATATACAGTCTGTACAGTATAAAAACCATTACGCCTATGGGATGTCCCCACAAGGATAGCAAACCAGACTGTGTGTGTGTGTGTGTGTTATATATATATATATATGTGTGTGTGTGTGTGTGTGTGTATGTATAATTTATTTTTTGACTGAAAAGCTTATATTTACTGAGATAACATCCTCGTGTTACAACTAGCCCTGGTATCTGCTTTAGAGCTAAATAATGTAACATGCATTATAGATGACTTAAAGTAATACAGGCTACTGCATAATATAAATGTGTAATCACATCCCAGGAGCAAATGCATAAAAATGTACCTCTAAATTGGGATTATGATTAAGTTTTAGATTCAGCATATAGACCTTTTCACTGTAATTAAAGGGATAGTTCACAAAAAGGAGTTTTTTTCTTCTTCTGTTGAACATAAAAGAAGGTATTTTGAAGAATAGTAAACAAATTGTTGATGGTAGCCAGTGACTAACGCAGTATGAAGAAAAAATAGGCTACCATCAAAAGAAACTCCTCTGAGTGTAAATCCGTCTTTAATAGATGTGCTGATACAGTCACTAGAGGGCAGGCGTCTGCTCCAGTCAAGATATACAACTTTTCCTGAGGCACAGAGATAATAAGATCAGAGTAAAAGCTGACATGCCAGTGAGAGAACAGAAGCGGGCTGTGTTCAAATCTCAAGGGGCCCTGGGCACTTACACAGTCAGAGTCTACGCGATGAGAAAGTGCCTTCTGAAGTGCTTGTTTTAGCTGAAATGAAAGAGTGAAATTGTGGGATTTAAAATTATTATATGAAAGGTAGCCTATGTGAAGGTCTTTATGACTCTTTAATTATACTGTTATGCAAAGCAAATGTTCCAATCATGTTTTCAGTCATACTGGTCAATATATAATAAAGCAAACAAAATGCACAATATCTGCAATACAATGTAAATGCAATATTTCTGCCATTTTTTCAACAGCGTTTTAATCTATTGGCCACTAGATGGCAGCAAAGTCATTATCTGTTTTTGAAGATGTCCTGAGAAGTGTTATTTTAGTATCATTGAGATACTATTATAGTTTTTTTTTAATATTTTGAATTGTTTTTTATTTTTATATTTTCTGTGTTATTTATTTTTTTGTTTTGTTTCAATTGTCGTTATGTTTCAATTTTTTGTTGTGTTTTTGCCTTTTTTTTTTTTACAATATGTCTATAAAATGTTTTTTTTTTAGTTTTAGTTATTTTAGTATATCAAATTAAACTAAATGAAAATGAGACATGTTATTTGGACAAATATCATAAATAAAATAAGTAAATAATTAAGTTTTTGTAGATTTTATTTTATTTTCATTATTGTTTATTTTTATTTTAAGTAATTTCTTTTTTACAGGTTTATTTTTACTTAATTATAAAACCATGGCCAGGAATACCACAATTTCTCAGGAGAAAAAAAACCCTGCTTAGTTAAACAAACACACATTACACATTTAATTGAGTGTATTCCCCTCTACATGGCAAAAAAATTGACATGACACCTGACCAACTCCTGATGGTCTTGTCAGTGTTGTTAATGGTGTTAAAAGCAGCGGATATTAGTCTGACTGGTGGATTTTCTCTTTAAGATTCAGCAGATATGGCAGATGTCACAATATCTCAGCTTCTTGATTGTGATGCTGCTGTTGTGAACTCATTAGCACCTTTTTATTTCTTCAGTTCTGCTGATATATGCATCTCACATTTGAACACAGAGAAAAAAAGTGATAAAATGTCCCTGTTTTCTGATCTCAATATTAAAGTGTGACGATTGCAGAGAGCATTAGTTGCTGGTTTGCCCTTGAGAGGGTGATAAGTTCTAGATTTGGCACCCGTACTTATTCAGCGTGTCCTATTTTAGCCACTATAAAGGGGTGCAATAAAAAGAAATCACACTAACCGCCCTGAATCTGTCAAAATCTTGTCCACACTGCTGGCTCTAACAGAAAATCATAGCATAATCCTTGGATATGGCCACTATTTTATTGCCTTCAAGGCAACAGAGGGAGAGAGCTTGTTCAGCAACTAGGTGAGATTAAAGCCTAAGAGTTATTTCGCCTGTCTTACACTATATAAAATGATGTCTTTCATGGGACGCACATACTTAAAATAAACAATTTTAAGTCTCTTTGATCAACCACTTTAAGTATATACTGTATATAAATACATGTATGGGTCAGTAAGATTTTTTTAAAGAAATATTTTATTCAGCAAAGATGCATGAAAATGATCAAAAGTGACAGTAAAGACATTTCTAATATAAAAGTATGATGGTTTCCAGAAAAATATTAAGCAGCACAACTGTTTTCAACAGTGATAATAATACGAAATGTTTCTTGAGCAGCAAATCCGTATGTTGGAATGATTTGAAGGATCATGTGACACTGAAGACTGGAGTAATGATGCTGAAAATTCAGCTTTGCATCACAGGAATAAATTACAATTTAAAATATATTCAAATAGAAAACAGTTCTTTTAAATTGTAATAATATTTCACAATATTACTGTTCTTGCTTACTTTTGATCAAATAAATGCAACCTTGGTAAACATAAGGCTTTTTTCAAAAACATTAAATAATCGTACATAATTTATATTGCTAAATAGATTTCTGTCATGACAACTCTCGGAGGGATTGGCATGGTAATGTATATGACAATGTTAATTTATTTGGTCTTGGCGGGAATAGATCTGCTACGTTTGTGGCTTACCCTCCTTGTGAAGGGTGTCAATGATTGTCTTCTGGACAACTGTCAGATCAGCAGTCTTCCCCATGATTGTGTAGCCTAGTGAACCAAACTGAGAGACCATTTTGAAGGCTCAGGAAACCTTTGCAGGTGTTTTGAGTTGATTAGCTGATTGGCATGTCACCATATTCTAATTTGTTGAGATGGTGGGTTTTTGTTAAATGTGAGCCAA